GTTAGGAAGCTTTGTACCAATAAAATTGTGTTGCTATTTGAATGAAGACGATGTAAATTTCCATGGCCAATTAACCTTATTTTAGTTCACATGGTCAAGGGTGGTGAGTACAGTAGACATTATACAATAATGACATTCACTTGCTTGTCAAATCAGTTACATAACACAGTATTCATTGTTAAAGTCTTTCTATACTGCTTTATCATAAGTTATGTCACTCTACACTTCATCAGTTATCAATGTCACTGCTACAAAAGCTTCACAAACTGACCAAAGCTTCCGTCTGAACCATGAAAACAATCACAGGGTCTACACGTGAGAGATGCCCTTTATAACAGTTTTACAGTTAAGGGAAACAACTTAAAGTGATCAATTGTTCAGAAAAAAGATAATTATTAATATGCTTGGCAATACAGTACTCTAGGTTTGATAACTATTGATCCTCTTGATCTCTTCTGACACAACTTGCATTATTAAGATCACCTGGGCTGTCTTCACCCATCCCGCTCACACTAAGTCCACGCACTACACCTCTCCCGTCACCCGTCGCTCAAAAATGTTTAAAAAATGTCTCGTTTTTCCCACAATGTTCATAAGACTCACTTATGTCTATTTATTGAGTAGAATAGTTTATCTAAATTCCACAATAAAAAGTTTTATACTGTACTTGTGATAATTGTAAAACAATGTACGTACAGTATTAAAAATTATGTCATGTCTTATCAGTATACTGAAATATATAATATAAATATAATAAATAATACAAGTACTGTAAAACAAATAACATATAATAAATATATTGTATTATAGACAATTGCTTACCATTAATTTAAACAAGACTCGGACTACATAAAAAAGCACAAGCGGGTGAGATTTTTCACAAAACAATGTGTCATGAGAGCACAAGGAGGTATTATTTGCACAAATGGCTTTGGGAATGTTCCAGTAACCTGGAAAATTCCGGGGATGAGGGAGTTTTTGCCGGGTTTGAGAGATGATTTAATGTGCAATTTCTGAAACTTCTGCCAAAAAATTTCTGTTACCCGGAAAATTCCGGGAATGAGTAATATTTTTTTGGCTTTGAGAGAGTCGTCTCATTACCCAGAAATCTCTCATTCCGGCTAACAGAGATATCACTTGTATGTACAGGAGTACAGTACTTATACCGAAATTTTCAACAAAATCAAAATTTTCGAGATTATAGTTGAAACAGTAACCCTTATGCTTTAGTAATACCCTGTTCAGTATTTGGATCGATAAATCCATTTCTCTCAAAAATGGAAAATATTGTGTTTAACTCCTTTAGTACATCCCCAATAACACAAAACACCAAAGAGTGCCCTGAAAAAATCAGAGGTTGCATGTAATTAGTGTTGCAAATTAAAATTTTCCAAGAGTCATTAGGACAAATAAGTGCTGTACCCAAATGTCATCAACATTACCTTAAACAATGCTAACCTGAATACAGTACACAATATTTTCCTGTTAGTGATGCAGATTGCATAGAAAGTGTAAGCATAAGTGGATGAGACTTGCACAAGAAGCCAGAATTCAAGAGGGTTAATACATAATTCTTTCTACTTATTTAAGAGATTATGTAAGTAAATCACTCTGACAGTAAGAAAGACTCAGAAAGCTATTCTATATTTTGTGAGCATGTATACAGCATTACAAATGCCTTGTTATGTTCAACGTGCCCCATGTTATGCAATATGAAGTCTCTAAAGGTGTGTCCATTATACCATAATACAGTACTCATTTCTAGATTGCTAAACTTTAACTGACATTTTGGGCATTTGTTTAAACCTTCATCCTTGCACCTTGTGTAATACAGTATCATCATTTTCTAGTGACACACATAGTACTTTGTTGGCAAAATTGGCTATAGAGTTTACATAATGAAAGAGTTCCTCAGTAATACCTCCTTATGGTTTCTCTTAACACTTGATTAGTCTTGATATTTTAAGTTAATGGTACACCCACAAACTCATACAAGTTATCAAGGCCATCATATATGTACTTTTGAACCCCTTATACTCACAGAAATGAAAAATAATTTGTAGGGATCACCTAAAGATACTCCCAGTTTATTTTCTGTGATCAAACACACTAACACTATAGGGAAGGAGGTAGGTATGGCTAGGGTGGTTAATATAGAGATGAAATAAGCTGGGGCTAATCTTCAGGTGATCCATATGTAGCTATTATGAAGAGTAAAGGTAAGCAGATACTGGATCTGTACATTTCTGTACATTTCACTGAGCACAAATTTGATTCTAAGTTTACTTTGTTTCTGAGTAGTGTATTTATGACACTTTTCAAATGTGAAACTTCCAAAAAATAGGTCTTTATCTCTTACAACATCCATAATGACCTCCACTGGAAAAGGAATTACCAATATTTTCCAAACATTATTGAAGCTGTATTAATATTAAAATTTATGAAAACAACACACTGAAACATGGTAGAAGAGCTTCTTCTCTGGGGAAAAAATCTGAGGTTGAAACAGTATTCATTTTGGTTCAAAGCCATTTTTTGTTAGTGACATACATGTACAATATCTGCTGTCTTTGTCATATTAACTTAGTGCTGTACATCCAAAAGTAAAACTGCAACTAGACTTTACAAAACAGACATTCTACAGTATCATCTAAAGTTGTTCATCATAAAAAAAATTGCAGAAAAGAATAAACAGACAAATGGAAACCGGAGGAGGTAAATGAAATAATTTTACAAGCTGCACTACACCATTCTGAGCTTACTTTAATATAGAGTTATTGCACACAAAATATGTAAAAGGAATGAAACATTAATTGAGGAGCAAAGTTTTAACACAAAGGTTGAATACAGCACAGGTACTTGTAATTCATATCTCTGTCTCTGCTATAGAAATATTACGATTAATAAAAGATGAGGAACCATTCACAGGTAGATTGTAATGACAAAAATCACAAGTTAATATTTACAAGTGATTATGTGCCTCTGATCATCCACAATATCAAAATTATCACACTAAGACATACTTGTTATTGTCATCTCCCTGAGTCTGTGTGTGATAAGCATGTGCATAAAAGTTAGCCAGTCAGAAGACCTACAGAAAGAATTATTCAGACACACCAGCCATACTTTGATTAATTTCACTTCCTTTTCAGTGGTCCTTTACCCATAAATGATAGCCATCATCAGTGGACGTTAGCTGTAGGGTCAGCAGCCATCAACAGTGGAAATTTCATGTCCCTTGTGTTCCCTTTTTGCACATATTGGGGTGGGGTGGGGTGGGTAGAGATTCCTCGGCCACCACAGTTAAGCTACTAAGGTACAGTACAGATGGGGCCGAAGATCCAGGCTAACTTAAGGATACTGCAGTAAAGGTCATGGTTCAGACTGGTCAACACAGATCATCACTGCCACTGTTTATCAGGTATTATTATATATGTAGTCTGTAAATTAGGGTTTTACATTTGCTTTGATACATGCCAACATTTTCCAAATAATTGCTGGAAAACAGGTTTTAGTTTCTTGTGTTTTATGCTGATGATGCTACAATGTGTGAAGCAACAGGGATGAACCAGAGATATCTTAGGGGTCTTATTAATGAAGAGGAATACCCTTGGCGACCAATTTTGTTGCAATAGTAAAAATAAACGAATGACAGCAAGTGAAGTAAGAAATCATTTGTGCAATTCCAGGCACCCTGCATCATAGTGGATAAGGGTTTGTAAGTAATAAAAATAACATTTACTGGCTGACTACAATAAGGTATTTTCTTACTTGCATTTCAAATCGATATTTCCCGATACATATGTAATAAAGTTTTCATTACTGTATTTTCAAAAGTTTCAAATGGTAATGGGCAGGGATCAATGAGGAGTCTGACGAGATCTTGAGAAGATGCATTAATTACCATAAACACAAACTATCAAAGCAATAATCATAATATACTGTTAATATCTCCATTGTATTCTGACATATATGACAGAAAGCAACCGTCAATCCTTTCAACCAGCAATTTAACATATTCACCCACATGATTCATCCATACCCTCAAATTTCATCTTGATTTGTTCTCCAAATTTGAAGAGGATTCCCATATGTGATTACCAAATATACAATACCTTTTTATGAAGAAAAGGTGTGATGTGGTTGTAAGGTATTATATAGAGATGGTATTTAAGAGTCTATATATATAATGCAAATGTAGCTGGCAGACGGAATCAACAGGTCATCCATGGCAGTAAAACAATGGTAGATGGATTCAACAGGTCATCCATGGCAGTAAAACAATGGTAGATGGATTCAACTGGTCATCCATGGCAGTAAAACAATGGTAGATGGATTCAACAGGTCATCCAAGGAAACAAAATACAGTATTGACAGACGGATCTTTTCAGTGAGGTTTCCTTCCGTCCACCTTGACAGTTTACAGTAGTTCATTTGACACAGGTAAATTCCACACTAACTACTTTAATCAATCCTCTTTACATCTTGTCTTAAAGTTAATTTTTCTTTCTTTACATCTTTTCATTTTTTGTCATTATATTCCTTTGTTCTTTATTACTTTATATTTCTCTCCACTCATTTTCAGCTTGTGTTCACCTGTGGCCACTGTTAAAACACCATACTGGAAGATTCAGCAATAAAAGTCATGATATACAATATGTATAAATGTTAGAAGTAACAGTGCTATTTATTTGAGCAATATAATGATGACTGCTTCTCTTACTTGACACTCACACTGACGAGCACAATTCTCCTGCAAACTATTTGGGCATGACTATTGTTGTTACCGGTAGGGATGGTTAGATGCTCAACAGCCATGGGAAGACTGTCCACATGCCATCCTGATTTGAATGCAATGAAAAGATAGCAAGGTACATATAATGTACAGATTAAAATAACTTTGATATGTAACTGGTCAAAGTCATTCCTCTACTACATCATCTCAGACTAGATGAGTGCAAAATGTGTGGAATTATAAAAATGGAAATAAAACTTTGAGATATCAATATTAATCAAAAAGATAGATTTTTATTTATTATTTATTTTCCAACAACCCATGTATTAACATCATGAAGCTGAAAAAAGAAAAAGAAGGATTACTCCTGAAATCCCATTTTAAGGCTGAGCCTGGATCAAGATGACTCAAGTATTATGGATTAACATTAAGCTGTTGGTCTAGACACATACGACATAATATTAGTGGCTGAGACTAATGAAAATGATTGGTAAGCTGCCCCTATTGTGGCTACTGTACTGTATTAAGCATAAACAGGGGTACTTAGCAGCAAAGATTCTTACCTCACAAAGTACCATGACAGAAGCTAGTGTGCACCTCATCTTTCTTCTGGGTCAGCCACACTGGCCACTAACATCAGTCTCCTGGGTATAGACCAATAGCATAAGGAACACATTATACTTAAGCCAACAAGTGATGAGCATCTTGCTATACAAAAGGATGATGTTCCCTGGTGTCCTGCCTGAATAATATTAGAAAATTAGAAAATTTAAGAAGACAGGATTAGGTCGAGACAAACCAACAGTAATACTATGGGAGCCTTGGCACAAGCAGGAACACAGGAATTCATCTACCTATTGTCACAGACATCATCATCCTCCTCCACCAAAAAGAGTGGATAACATCACCAGGATAACACCAACACAGTTCCAACAAAATGAGTGCACATTTTCCTTACTTTACGAGTGTCATGCAAAACTTGAAGACCAAACAAAGGGGAAGGAAAACACAAAAGAGAATGAAGATAATACAGTAATAAGATTGAAATAGAAAAAAAGTAGTGTTTCAGTGATTGCATCATGTAAGTATACAACAACTTAAAAAAGTTTTGCACACAGCCAACAACATTATGAACTTTATGTGCAGTATCCATCACCACATTATTTTGTCATCAATAAGCTAATACTCTGATGGAACTATAGTCATATAAAAAAATAAATAGAAAAGGAAATGTTATTGTTAACAAACAGTTTTTAATAATCATAACTGCAACTCCAAACCATAAACATTCACCAGCTCTTAAATCTTAATCTAGAACAATAACATTTTGACACCATGCTCGAACAATATTAGTGTCAACCACCAGCTTCAATCACTGGGCCTTCTTTGCCGCCCCTCGGTTCTTCCATGCCAGTATGAGCTTCCAAGCAAAGATCAAGGTGAAGATGTGGACCTGCATGGCTACCATTATGAAGCTGTACCATAACACACTCACCGGATAACCCTGCAAGTGGAAAACAGTGATAAACACAGATACTCCATTACATCCCTTAACAGTACAAACAATACAAAAATTATTAACAAGTACAGGTATCCCTCGAGATACCTGTACAAACGTTCAAGATATGAAAATTCGCTTATACAAATTTCCTCAACTGACAACACTATTTGGTGATATGAAAGCTTCCCCTACTTAAACAACTTTGGGTCTGGACAAAAATTAAACCCCCTCTGCCCTGGGAGTCAGCTGGGGCGGCCACATCCCCTTGGCACTCTCCGTACCAGGCTGAGATAGGAGTTATGTTATGGTTATTTGTCAACTCATAATTTCATGTATATAAACACAACTTTCTTCATATTTTTTTCATTCAGTTACATGCACACAATCCTATATACATAATGTGTAAACAAGTTTCAAAAATAATTATCACAAAGGTCAAAAGCATAAAATAAAATAAAAATTCCTTATGTACTTGAGAATTGTGGAAAGGGAAGGGATGAGCAGGAGGGGGATGCAGTATTGTCTGTGTCACTATTTCAGCCTCCAGCCAAGCCGAGTTGCCTTATTGTTATTTTTCAACGCGTATTTTCGGGTATACGTTATCACAAGCGTGAAGGAGGGAATGAGCAGTTTCCATCATGGCTCATGCTAGTGACAAGATTGCCAAATGTTAACGCAGTATTTTTTTCTTATTTTATTTATTATTATTATTTTTATTTATTCCTCACATTAACTGGTACAGTATATATATTTTTTTATGTCATGTTCTTTTATTTGAGATACGAAAATTAGCTTAATGAATTTTTTTTGGGGGGAGGGGGGGGTCTCATTCATCCTTTATCATGATGTATGAAAACTGCATGGAAAGATATTTTGGGGAAGTAGTTCTGTAAGTGTCATGAGTATGTGCGAGTACTGTCTCAAGATGGATAGGATGAACAAATTAAAAAGGCTCGGTGGCTTGAGCTTTGCTAATATAAGACGTATCCACTACACTAAAGAAATTTTGGGGGGAATTTTAGCTAGTAGTCCATATTTAAAAGGGAAATCCAGTACAGGGGGTCCTTGACTTATGAACGTCCAACTTATGAATGCCCACTGATACTAAAGGGACTAAACTTGAAATTTACAGTATTTTATTTACCCGAAGACATATTTTTTACTTTCATTTACTGTATTTTGTCATTCTATTTCTTCTTTTGTCTTAAATTAAGTGATTTTAGATGTATATAAGGACTTAAGAACGTCCTCAGGAACGGAACCGGTTCGTAACTTGGGTACTCCTATACAGTTCACACATATTATTACTGTGGTTCATTTCCAGCAAAAAGGTAAAATATACCATCTCATAATTGACTGATTGGGTAAAATATTTGGTGTCGCAGCCTGTGGCCATTTGACGCCGAAAATGTACCATCTCATAAAACCAAAAAATTTTTTATTGAAGATATTTAAATCATGATCGTTTTATACAATGGAGTAGTAACTGCTGCGTTGCCGGACGATGATGGTGGAGGAACCACTGGAAAAAATATCGTTTATAATTAAATTAATAAATATTATTCTCATTGGGGAGATGCAGCTTGGCAGACCATTTGAAAGTCACGTTCAAACTGTTTTTGTAATTCTTAAAGCATAGTATGAGGCTAAAGTGGGTTTAGGTTCAGGTGTGTAAAATTGGTATAATGATTTTTTTTTGTTAAATATTGCACCAAGTGACTAGTGGGCCTATTGAATACAACTACTATAGTGGGTCAGATTCAAGGACTAGTAGGTCAAATGGCCTACTTGTATACTGTACATAATTAAAAAAAGTTCCCAGCACTACACTCTGCCATTATAAATAGTACCCTCCATACAAATATATTTCTGAAAGCTTAAAAAAAAAAAAACATTAATACCCTGTACTCTTTACAGGTAAACCCCAGTAAACAATGGGGTTAGGTCCCCCAAACCCATCGCTAAGTGAAATATCACAGATAGGGAGCATTATAACATGGGGTTCAATGGGATCTGTTCGTAGCCAGTCCCCAAACACACATGTATCACCGACTAAAAAATTCCTACTCATAAAATCAATAAAAAACAATTGAGCAACATTCACCACATGAAGAACAAGCCTGGTCATTATTACTTGTCTGTCCCCTTCGAGGTGGAGACATCACTCTGACTCCCAAGAGGTATTATTAACCTGTATGTCTCACTTCAATCACTAAAACAGAGCAATAGCACTTAACTCTAAGAAAAAACTAGCAATGACAACGTAAGCACAATGATAACAGCCGACACAGGTCACATGCTCACGAAAACAGAGGCAAAGCAGTTTAGTCACAATCCCGCCCCCTCCCCCAGAAAATATCACTTCACAGCCACCATAACACAGTTCAATCTAAATGTTAGTGCTGTCATTAAAAGAAAAAAGAAACCCACTGATGATAAGTACAATGTACATACTGCCAACGATACTGAATGATAATCATGGAGGTACATGATAACGGACAGATGCGATCAACAAAGAATCAAGCGCAGGACTGCAGTGCGCGGGTTGGCCATGTGGCGGCGCTCGGCTAGATATTGCAGCAGCTGACAAGTGCAGTGAGAGATGCATTCCTTATGGTGGTGCATAAGGTTATAAATATCATTTCCTTATAAAATGAAACTGACTTAACAAAGAAAAATATAATTTGCATTGGTGGAATCCTTGCAAGAAAGCATTTGAGTACTATAAACTACAACCAATAGTTTGCACTAAAGATAAAAATAAATTCCAATCAATGCATGTCAATGGATACCGTTAAAACGATTTTTTTTTTATTGTATATAGCGAGGTGGTCTTAATTCATGACCATCGTTAAAGCGAAATACTGTATCGCTTAACGTCGTTTATCGAGGTTTACCTGTATCAGTCTCTTATCTATTTTCTCGTGAGCAGTAATAAAATTCTCATAAAATAACGAAGCGGACTTTTGTATCCACTCACCAGCCACAACTGTAAGCCCTCTGGTTCCTCTTCAGTACAGTACTTCCAGAAGTCTTTAAAGTAAATCATTGCGGCCAAAAGAATCGGTACTGTCGATAGGAGGTTGATGAGGCCGAAGTATATCTGTAAAGAAAATAAACGGTTTATCATCTTCTTGAGATAATGTACAGCCATCAGGATACAGTTATGTATACTTCTGGTGTAAATGGATGGTGAAGAAAATTTTATCTCTGTGTTCATTTTGGATAACATGCAGACTAGCCATGACAGTATATTTCACCTGGTGAATAAGCACTCTTACGCTATCTGAGGTCGTTAGGTTAGGGGAGATCAGTTCAGTTTAGTTCAGGGTGTTTAATCTTACAGTGATATAAGCTGGGGTGCTAATCTTATTTAAGAACAAAACAAAAAACAAACAAACAACCATCAATTGGTTTTCCTTAATTCTCAAAAGTGAACTTTTCTTCCATCATTACCATATACTAGACTAGGTATTTCATGAAAAAATTATAAAGTACAGTATATATATCGTAGACCAGATGTGTCACATTAGCCAGAAGGAGGCAACAAAGTCCTTGAGCCAAGATAAATTAACTTTAATCATGGATTACCTTATAAGTACAGAACCTGTACCTAAATCAGGCTAATATACAGTACAGTACATACAGGCAAACAGAAAGGAACTGGTGTCTTTCCAAGGAAAATTCTGGTGCAATGGAAATTGTATACAGTACTGTACAGTATAACAGTAATATCCCCGTTAGCCGGAACAATTGGTGCAGAGCACGTCCGGCAATGAGGATAACGAGACAACTCTCTCAAAGCCGGAAAAAATCCCCTATCCCCGGAATTTTCCGGGTAACGGAAAAACTTTCTCGGAATTTCCAGAAAATGTGCCTGATTTTTGTATCTGAAACCCAGAAAAAACTTCCCCATCCCCAGAATTTTCCAGGTATTGGGAAAATTTTCTCAGAATTTTCTGGAAAATGTGCCCCGAGAAAATTATAATTCAGGCTATCGGAGAGTTCCGGGTTTGAGGGATTCCGGCTAACGGAGATATTACTGTACCTGCATTCTCTATATGCATGAACTGTACTGTATACCTTCATTACCTATGGTATTAATGCTGGAACCAGTTGTAAAATTGTATGATGATTTTACTGAATAAATATGCATGTATATATGTATCTACTGTAAACAACTTTCAGCATCAAGGTTTCCTGATCAATCTATACTTGTTACACAGCACAGTACAGTTAATTCAAATTGCCTTACCTGAAGAAGTAACACCCGATTTTTTCGAATGGCTATGAGACCCAAGAAGCTGGCCAAGGACCCCACCAACCAGATATATTCCCATTTTAATGGCTGTAAAAATCAAGCTAATATTACCTATCTGTTAACTTAGATAGTATACGTTATATACAACAATATGTGCATGGACAGTGTTTCTATAATGAAAAAGATACTGGTTCACCCAACAATGATATTCAATATTAAAATGGTTGATGAATCCACCAATAACAGTACAGTATATCATTTCAGTATATTGGTCATAATTATCTAATTTATAAAGGGTTCTTGCAAGTTTAAATAAACTAAATCTATCCACACTTTTACAGCATACTGCACCATCAAACTAGAATACAGTGCAGGTACAGTATATCAACAGTTAAAGATGTGACCATACTTGTGGAACTTCTAATTCTTCAATCTCAAGGATAAAAATATCAAATCTGTCTAGGAAATCAGGAACCATCTTGACCAGCATGAGGAGGGCCAGCAGGAGATGGGCGAACACACATTTTCGTAGTCGTCCTTTGTTCAGCGCACTGACGAAACAGAAGGAGTGTAAACATAACAAAGCTAATCTGCTGCACTGTGATGGTCAGTAGTAGAGTTAAACCAAATAACCAAAAATCAAGAACAAACATTCTTAACCCTTTGGACGTGATGGTCGACTGATCCACAAAAGTATTAGAGATATCCTTCGCTTAACAAATGTTTGAGACAGAAAAATTCGCTAATATGAACTTCCTAAAGTAACACCTCATTTTCATTCATCACAGGTGTCCCCCGCTTATATGATATTGGGTCCCAGCAAAAATTTCAATAACCTGCCCTGAGAGTCAGCTGGGGTGCTCTCCCTTAAGGTACTCGCTCCCACCATTCAGTTTGTTTGTTTGAATTCACAACTGACGGTGGTGGTGGTGTGTTTATTTAAGTATTACACTAAACATCGTTGGTGGTATTATTGTCACGTTAGACTCGTCGCTGAAGTCACATCCCCTTATTCCTCTTATTACCAGGTCGAGCTGTAAGCTACACTAGGGTTATTATTCAACTTGTAGTTTTGGATAGATAAACTTTATTTCCATTTTTTTACTCAGCTACATACACACACAATCCTACCTACAGAAAGTGAAAAAAAAATGATTAGCATAAGGTCAAAAACATACATTAAATGGCTTAAACATTTCTTCATGCACCATTGAGAGTAAACAGGCTGAGTGGGCAAGCTATGTTATGGCTATTTTTCAACTTGTAATTTTTTTTACTTGGTTAAATGCTCCCACAATCCTTCATATATAAAGTGCAAAAAAGATAAAGAATGAACTATCATAAAGTAAAACACATAAAGGGATAAAAAAACTTTGGTGAGAGAGTTCGCACGGCGGGTGAGGGAGCTGGAAGGGGGAACGGAGGCAGCGTCCCATGCTGGGCTGAGTTGCTATGGTAAGTTTTGAGGCCACATGGCTGCATCTTACATAAATGGCAGTTGTGTTAAACTTTTATTTTGTTTACCTTAATGGTTTTACCTGCATATTTTCATCTAGATACATTTTATTAATATTTTTAATGTACTGTATATACATTAGGTAGTAAATTACAATAGCCAGGTACTATTTTTCATTAGTTAAGTAGGTTTTTGTTGTTCGTGAACTGATTTCATGTTTTTAGGAGTATAGAATTGGGGTTTTATTGTCTTTGAGGGAACCAAACCACACTCCTTCCACACTCACAGAAATTCAACTGAATGTTTGTTTTACTTCTTAAATACCAAAATAAAGAAAATTTTCTGCACACTGTACATATACATTAAACATACAGTACGTAGTCTATTCAAAAGTGAGTTCCCTAAGAGTGAATTACAGCAAATAGGTTTGTTTATGTCTCGGCAGCTTCTAGTGAGCCGTGACATTTGCCATAAGTGTAGAGCTCATAAATAATTAATGTCTGATGGAATAAATAGCCCAATACCTTGATTTTATTTAATTATATAAGTAAAATATTATTACTGTTTTCACATAGCATTTTAAATTAAATTGGTCATATAAAACCAAAGATCTGAGATATATTATGCCAGATGAAACAATTATTTCATAAATAGGTTTGTTAACACACTCTTTTTATGGTTCATGCAAACCCATTTTCTTTTAATATAGACCTTCATTAAAAAGTTGTGAGGGTAAACAATGGAAAAATGCCACACCCACTGGCACCTAAATATGAGTCACCAGCAGGGATGGGGGTCAGGAGACACTCATCAGTGAGTGCCAGAGAGGATAATTCCAGAATGCAAACTTTAAGACAAAAGCATTGAATAGGACAGTCCACATTGATCTCGGTGAAGAAACCTACGTGTGACTGATAAGTATTTATACACTGTCAAAAGATAAAAAGCGACACACTGTACTGTACTTTCAACCAATCTGTGAGAATAAACATCCTGCAAAAATGAGAATGGATAAAAATCTTCGTATTTATAACATTAACATTATTCACACTTCAATACAATACCTTAAATTTATACAACACATCACAGGTAATGACCACAATACAGAAGCTATAGTTGCCAATATTTATGTCTAAACAAAATAGTTCCTCTCCTGGATGTTCATATTTTCACTCTACCCTCTCTGGCATATCAGGACTAGAGGAGGAGCATGCGGCAAGCGTGTACAGCACACCACAACACACATGGGGTGGGGGGGGGGGAAGTGCCTGAGACACACACAGGTTACTTGTCCAGCCCAACAGCCTTACAGTCAAGTGTTGCTATATTGCCTCCGTAAGTATCCTTAAACATCTTTGTATACAGTAATGCTTATAAGGCTCTTATACATAATAGTCTAATTAATTAAGCTATAGTGTTTTTTATGAATGACTATATATAATTACAAGGCTACCAAATCCAACATCGTGGTCCGCTATGAGCTACAGCAACTTCACTCGACAAGAATTGAGTATAAAATAAATGTAAAGTTAGAAGATAAAATAAACTATCCCCACGAAACTGGAAACACCAACACCGATATGGGGACTAATACAACAAAAGATAGATTTGTGAAGATGAACTCATGATTAATCCTTTAACATGATAACCAGTACAGTACAGTAGTCAAAAGAAAAACACCAAGAAGTAGAGATCAGGTGTTAACAATATTATAAACTCTCACTAATGATAAAGAGATTATGTTGAAGACAGATGCAATGGGGAAGGAAGCATTTATTTACTATAGAACAGTATATCTTAAGACAATGACCCACTTAATAGACACACAACCAACTCACTGTGTATCAGTTCGAGGCATATCTGATAATGTACATTCATTGAAAGACGTGTTCTAGGGCATCTAGTGAATACAATGGTAAAAATGCCCCCCCCAAAAAATCACCATTACAAATCCACTACTTCTGCGATAAATTAACTGTAATTCATTAATTTCATGAGCACAACCTAAACAATGTACCATATCAGTGTGTCCTAAACAATGTATCATGTAGTGTCCTAAACAACATAACAGAAGGAAACCAAACAGATGCAGCACAGTACATGAGGCAAGCTCCTGTTATGTACCGGTACAGCATTCTACGGCTGTATTCTATGAGGTATTGGACACGGATACAGAAGCCAATATGGTAATACTGTACAGTATTTGGTGTTGGAGGAACACACACACAGGACTGGCTGAAACTGGACAAGTAACCAACATATGACTTACAGCTCTGTAATTATCTTCTTTGGTGGCCAGCTGCAACAACCAAAGCTAAAGTTAGCACAAAAACATCTATATACAGAATACAGTACAATACATTATTAGCCTGAAACCATCAAAAATGTAAATAAAAATGGATCAATAAAATAACTATTAATTTTTATTATGGTATACTTTGTAAAATAAAAATAAAACTCATTAAATTTCATCTACAACACAGTGGCTTTACATGCAATATGTTTTACTATCTACCAACTCTTCTCCCTACAACTACTGTACTACAACAACACTGCAAGACTAATAATTAGTTTAGTCAAAACTTCACTAAACATTCTTAAAATACCTTAGTTAGTATGTGACTAACTACTACAAGGTTTTTTAGTATGTGACTAACTACTTCAAGGTTTTTTAAATACATCAATACAAAACAGGCCACAAAATTTGGTACTGAACTGTACTGTATAAAACAAAAGAAAGCTGTTTTAACATAAATAAATAAAGGCATAATAAACATCACTATAAGGTTATTAAAACACTTGGGCTCCTACATTTGAATTTTTAGCACCAAAATAGAATTCTTGTCTGTACTGTACAGCAGCAATGGTAATACTAGTTATGTTTAATTCACTGGTGATTAACTAACTGAAGTAAACAGAAGTATTGAGTGATTATGCTTTGCCCTGACATCATAGTTGATGTTGTCAATGATAAAAATGTTTTCAAGTTTTTAATTTGTTATGCCTAAAGTGGTCCATTCCATAGGGGTGTGTAATGTAACTACACCAGCTTAACCCCTCGTGTATGGGTCGCCCCTAATCTGAATAAAATCTTCTGGCATTAACCAAATAAAATATTAAAAGTGGCCTCAGGGGAATAATTGTCTTAAAACAACATTTGTCTAAGCAATTTTTTAATAACATCTCTTGAAAACTTACAGTACTGTAGCTACACAGTATTCCAGGTACAGTACAGTACAGTATTTGGTAAAGGTACTGTATAGTAACTCCTATTACTTGCATGAATTTATAAACCAAGAATACCGGTATATATATATATATACATATATATACAGTATTTATAAAATAAGATCATAATATACTCTAGACTACTTTTTGAGAATTAGGGAAGCAACGCAGTACAGTACAGTATACGTACCTTACTATAAATGATTTCATCCATCAGAGTCTGAGAGAACTCAGGTTAATGATTATTACATTGTTGGGTTACGTTTAACGGGGAGAATTAATTTAACGTAATTTATTTTAAGAAATAAGAGATACAGTGTATAGTTTCTCAGATGCTACCCATAATTCACAGATACAGATATATTTCTATACAATAACTTTGCATTTTTCAAAGTTCTACAATATTTCATTGTGAATGTGAATGGCTGCATAAAATAAGGAGCAGTTAGTGCCATGGCGCCTGAGACTCAGGCTCACAGTAGGGTGTCTGTTTTCAGTAAGGGTTACCAGTAAGTAAATTAATAAGTAATGAAGCAAACAAGAAAGGATCAGCAAAGTATTGTAATACGACACTAATATTAGAGAAATTTAAACCCCTAGTATTATTCCTTTGTGGGGGGAAAGAGTAGCAACTGTATTATTATTAATTTAAGAAAGAATAATTTATCAACACTGTCTATATAAAAAAATTATGAAGTTGCAGGAGCTGTGTCTTAGTGAGCATGAAACAGAATAGTGTTTAATGATACTATGACTCCTGCTGCTAATGTAAACACAGTAAGAATCTTCCTCATGCATGTAGCATTGAGTGTCTTTATTTAGGAGAAAAACTTGTGAAAAATATGAATAGAAAATGTGCTTTACCTCCACTCGATTTGTTTTTTATTGAGGTAAGATTTAAATTTGTTCTTTAGATGACTGATAGTTCATAAACAGATTTCTAAACACTAGAGAAGTGCTTAGGACAAAAAAGTATATGAATTATATTATGGAAAATACTTTCTTTGGGCTTCTCCTGAGGTAAGGAAGTGTAGTGATGGTTTGTCAGACCACAGCTTACATCTGAGAAACTCCAGTCTGACCGGACATTAGCCGAGGGCAAGTATAGGGTAACTCTGCGGTTGACCAAGGATTGTAAACCAACTAGCTCCCCCTCCCATGTCACACATGTAAGAAGGCACCAGCCGACTCTCTCCCAATATACAATAACCTACACCGCAGAAAGAAGTCCAGACCTGACCTCACAATTACGGGGTCAAAATGTAAGGAGACCCTTCGCCGCCCCCCAGGCCAGCTGAACCTGACGGCTCGCTTCCCAATATATAGGACGTCCTGGTCCTCCCTCGAGGATTGGCAGAGAAGCAGTTGTCTTGTAACAAGGTGGCCAGCTACGACACCACTAGTGCTGCTCCAGCGAAGTCAGGGCCGGAGGCAAGCCGCCTCCGGTCAGGACCGAGACTTCCCTCCGGTGTCCCAGCTAAGCAGGCGCCCTCCCGACACCAGTGGTCCCGCTAAGCAGACTACCTGCTAGGCCTCCCCTAGGTCACGTGAGTGTTTGTCAGAGCTTTCCATGGGATGAGTTACTTACGTGGGAAGTGTATTCATTTCATGTTCGTGTCCGAGAATCAGAGTGTCTAGTAACGTAATATGATGTCCTAGTAACGTAAATATAATGTCCTAGTAACTTCAATAGAAGGTGTTATTAATGTGTCCATGTCATGTTCGTGATTAATAAAGAGTTGTAACGAAGCAGTGTTTAAGAAGTCGCCTTTAAGAACGTAATAGATGTGTATTGACGTGTAAGACACGACCAGTGTACGATAAGAGTAAATAACTATCACGGCCACGCTACCAAAGTCTTCCTCTCTTTTATACTCCTCTCGCTATAATATTCTACTACTATAACCTCCTAACTTACTTCTTCTAACAAGATCCGTTTCATTACAATGGCGGCAGCGCACTTAAAGTAAAGAACTCACGCCTCTTAACTTTAGTGTTCAGTACAGTGATAGTTAGAATCTTTTGAAGTAATCTCGTAACTATCTTGACGAAGCAGGCAGTACAAGGGTGGTTGCATTCGTAACATTATATTGGTGGCATTCACGCTTCCCTCGTCCCTTGTTATTGGTAACAGTGTACTTAACGTAAACCCATGCCTTCCCTCGATTAGCCATAACACCTGGCTCGTTTCATCCTTCATTTGTTTCAGTCTAAGTATTGTCTACAATTGTGTAATAAGTAATTCCTGTGTCATAGCGTCGTAGCGTGAAAAGTGGCCTAGTGTGTCACCGTTACAGCTCAAGTAAATGTCTCTCGTCGTGGTATGCGCGAATTTTTTTTTGTTTAGAAATATGTTCAGTGCTTAACGTAATTTCTCAGTGTTCCCCGCGTTCTGTGAAATTCTCAGTATCCCAAGTGCTTTTTAATTGTCGGTCAGTGTTAAATGTACCCATTGTGTTTTAGCGATAGAAGCGGTGTCTGTACTAACTGTTATAACTTAACATGTCTTTTAACCTACATCCTCCTCCCTGTCCTAACCCTCACCTCACCCTCCGTACCCATCCGTTCCCGCCTCGCTCCACCCTGCCCTGCCCCGCTCCGCCCCGCCCCGCCCCGCCCCGCCCCGCCCCGCCCCGCGCCCCGTCCCGGGTACGCCACCCTACACCTCAGGCCTTCCCTAGGTCACGCGCGCATCATGGCCGAATGTTTCCCGCCCCGCCCGCCCGTGTGACCACCAATGTTTTGTCCTGTGAGTTATGCTTCGAAATTGGTGGTTAGTGTTACTTAACATTGCGATAATTACAGAGCTTCACTCAGTGTGTTTTTATGCTAGTATGATTTGTAATGTACTCTTTGACGCGTAGTGATAAATAATATTCAATGTAGTGAGCAGAGCTTCACTCCCCGACCCAGCCTAATGAGAAAATTGTCGTGACGGAAATAATAGTTACCAAACATTGACGTAACTTATAAAATAAATATCTGTTTTTTTTTGCGAATGCACTTCCAACTAATCCATCATCCCTTTAGGATTGTTTCTGTCAAATGTCACACACAGTACCGCCCCATGGCTAGCCGGAATCCGTCCACAGCACATATAAGAAGAGAAGTAGCAGCGTGAGGAATGCAGCGTGAGGAATGCAGCGTGAGGAATGCAGCACCACACCCGCCACGCACCACCCCCACTTCTTTCAAGTCCTACCTGGTCTAGGATTAAGAAGAGTTTATATTTTTCTACTAGGAAGTTAAGGAGTGTGGAATGAAGTGCCACACAACGAACCCTGGTGAGCCCAGCCAGGGAGGGATTCACCACTGTGGAAGGTGTAAGACAGGACGGTCTTTGGTCTCGCCGACACTCACGTACGGAGGGCGAGGCCTGGTCCGCGGAACCTGCCTTACGAGTCATCTAAGGAGACGACAGCCCAAACAGTGGACCGGCTTTCATCCCAGCCGGAGAGGGCCGACGGCAGATGAACAGAAAATCGTCTGGAATATGTTGAAAATGATGATGTTGCAGAGAAGAAATGCAGATGAAGCAGAAAAATTCATCTGGAATATGACGGAAAACGAAGATGTATAAAGAAACGCAGACGAGCAGAAAAATCGTCTGGAATATGAAAAGGCTCTAAACGTAGAGGAAGAACAGGTGAACAGAAAAATCATCTGGAATAGGATAGAAACCAGGAGGAAGTGAGAAGAAGTCAGATGTGGTGACACGACCTACAAAGTGCGGTATTGAAGAAAGAAAAACGTGCTATGTGAAGACAGAAGAGACGCTGTGCTGACATCAGAAGAAAGTCGACGATGACAAGGTGGATAATCAGAAGGACCAATCGACTACCGTTGTTGTGCTGCCAGCATTCCTTATTTTCAGATACCAGCTGGATGGAGGACTTGAGCCATGCTGGACCCAACAAATGTACTGATGTTGTTGATGTTGCTGATGTGTAATAAAAAGATATAACACCCTAACATGTTAAGCAGGAGCATTTTGTATGAAGTATTTCATTCTCTGATTTTTGTTAACATGTACTACAAAGAATGTTTTTTAAAAAAAAGATTAGTCACTTTTTCTATGAGTTCATTTGATCAATGTTTTGTATTACCAAACACAATGTTGTAGCCATTTACTGACTGAGATGAATTATTATTTTGACACGGCCTGGTTAGGCAATGTAACACCTGTTTTTGTTTGTAGAATGTGATTTGCAAGTTTGCCTCGGACACTATGCTAGATATGAAGGATCTTTAGATCACTCTATGTTCAATTACTGTGTATGTATTTTATTTTTTTCTCCTGTCATAGAAGCTTTAATCTTGGCGGGAGGTATAGTAAGCTTTGTCAGATCAAACTATGCCAGTAGAAAAACATACATCTCTAGGGTTATTATTTGTAAAATGTAAGGATGCATTATCGCCTGAGGGACTATATTAGATACTGCACATGATGTTACTGTCTACTTTAAATGTATCATCAGTTCTCTGAGCATGAAAGCTTTGGTCTTGGCGGGAGGTGTAGTGATGGTTTGTCAGACCACAGCTTACATCTGAGAAACTCCAGTCTGACCGGACATTAGCCGAGGGCAAGTATAGGGTAACTCTGCGGTTGACCAAGGATTGTAAACCAACTAGCTCCCCCTCCCATGTCACACATGTAAGAAGGCACCAGCCGACTCTCTCCCAATATACAATAACCTACACCGCAGAAAGAAGTCCAGACCTGACCTCACAATTAGCCAGGTCACTTGTAACCCTTGGAGCCCAACTCAAGGCCTCTCGTGTTACACGGCCCCACCTGACGACTTCTCCTTACATCTCAGAAACTCCAGTCTGACACGACGTTTGGGAAGTCAAGTGTAGGGGAACTCTCACGGTTGCTCTCCCAATATACACATGGCCCCACCTGATGACTTTCCCAGATAGTTCTGAAAAAGTCCAGGCCTGACCGCACATTTGCGGGGTCAAAATGTAAGGAGACCCTTCGCCGCCACCCCAGGCCAGCTGAACCTGACGGCTCGCTTCCCAATATATAGGACGTCCTGGTCCTCCCTCCAGGATTGGCAGAGAAGCAGTTGTCTTGTAACAAGGTGGCCAGCTACGACACCACTAGTGCTGCTCCAGCGAAGTCAGGGCCGGAGGCAAGCCGCCTCCGGTCAGGACCGAGACTTCCCTCCGGTGTCCCAGCTAAGCAGGCGCCCTCCCGACACCAGTGGTCCCGCTAAGCAGACTACCTGCTAGGCCTCCCCTAGGTCACGTGAGTGTTTGTCAGAGCTTTCCATGGGATGAGTTACCTACGTGGGAAGTGTATTCATTTCATGTTCGTGTCCGAGAATCAGAGTGTCTAGTAACGTAATATGATGTCCTAGTAACGTAAATATAATGTCCTAGTAACTTCAATAGAAGGTGTTATTAATGTGTCCATGTCATGTTCGTAATTAATAAAGAGTTGTAACGAAGCAGTGTTTAAGAAGTCGCCTTTAAGAACGTAATAGATGTGTATTGATGTATAAAGATACGATAAGTGTACTGACAGTGTAAATAACTATCACGGCCACGCTACCAAAGTCTTCCTCTCTTTATACTCTTATACTATCAATATTCTACCTATATGTAATCTTCTTCTTGTGAGTTTTGTCTCATTACAGAAGCATTTTCCAATAAAAGTTGCTCGTTCAAGCATGCAACCATTGTAAAGTATTACCCATTTTACTGTACTGTAAATGTACATTGTAAAATTTACGAGAGGTAATATTTAAGGCCAGTCACCGGAGAGAGCTTGTGTCGCTAGCTGGGTACCTCACTTTCATAAGATTTATGTTATGTTTGTGATATTTAGGTTAAATTGGTATTGTTCCATGTGTGGTTTTGGGTAACAGATATAACACTACAAGATAAAAATTACAGAAATCCATTTCAATTGACTAAACATTATTGTCACAGCAAATACAATGCTAGTTCCTGAAGTCTCCAATAATCTTTAATATATAACGTTAAAGGAAACTATACCTAAGCTAACAATTCTTCACTTACAGAGGCAGAATCAGATCGGAACCAGAAAACTACTGGGTAAAAATATACTAAAAGCATAAATATTATATCAGTGTTTAGAATCAGTTGATGATATTAGATAAATATGCTGTTAGGTTAAAGAGCTAGGGTACCCAGCTACACAGCCTCACTGAAATTTATTTCTTACCTATACACTAAAGCCAATCGGGTAGAAGAATAGCATTTTTCCTTCTCAGGTTTTATCTGTTGCTTTTCCTTAAATAATAATGATGACAATGGTGCATCCTAATGCTCAGGTAAACAAAGACGATGCCGGCACACACCCCAGCATCGGCTCCAAATATCTTGTTGAAAATAAAAACTAGAAAAAGAGAACCTGACTAATAAGTGATATTCCTCCACTCAATTTGTTTTTTTGTTTAAGTATGAAATAAGTTTTCTTCTAAGGCATTTTACCTTAGGTGATTGGATAACCTGGGTGATTGTCCTTAAATTTTACTGTAAGTGGGATGTGGTAGTCAAGTGGGTACTTTACTAACTCCTGTCCTTAGGGCTGTTGATATACACCAAGACACACCCAGTTCAACAGTTGTGAAAAAGGATATGTAGGTGGTCGTGTTTAGTAGTAACCAGACAGCTTCCTTGTGTACTGAAAACGGTCTTGGTCTAGGGTGTGTTGCATCCCACTGACAGGCTGTTACATATAGGACCCACTTTTGCATATATGATAAATATCTGTAGTGACTAACCTAACGATTTTTGTTTTATTGACTGTTTGGTCTAGTCAATAATTACCAGTAAATGTCACAGATGAGTAGTTCAAGGAATGTCAACAATGGCGAGATGCTCTTATCTGTGTACCTATCTCATGATTCTAATGTAATGTAATAAGTTCACACTAACTTATGCTCACATATCCATAATAAACACTTTTATTCCATATAATTTCTACAAGAAAAGCATAGTTTAGCGGCAAAAACCATCTTTAGTATCACCAAAACATCTGCTGTCAAAATTCCTCGCTTGTCTATTTAAGACCAACAGGTACAAGTGAGGTGTTACAGGTGACCCTCTCATCCCCGGTCAAGAACATCCTCCAACCAGCTGTTGATTCTGGCGTACAAGTTATGCCTTGGTGAGCGTATGACAGTAACATGAATGAAAGACAGACGACGAGAAAAAAAACGTGCCCAAGATGCCATAGAGTGAGTGCCAGGAATACTGCAGGGTTGGGCATCACGTTACACTCACCTAATCTGGTAATGTGCGGCTACAGTCTCCCTGTGCACGAAGTCCGAGCCGTCAGTCCCCGACACTACAGGACCATCCCGAGACGCCATCCTCACCACTCACTACCCTTCCGCCTCTCCTCCAGCTTTGCGAGAGATGGAAGGCTGAGTGGGCCGGCAGACAGTCGAGTGATTCTCCTCTGCCAACTGCAGTAGCCAAAGCCACTGGGCACTGGCAGCAACACTGTCACCTGGTGGCTGTTCCTCCAACAATAACAACAATGTTCACACAAGCAGCCCCAACCAGCACAGAAAATGGTCCACCGCCTATAGTGATGTAGAGGGGGACACTATACTCTTTAACCACTCGTGTATGGGGTCCCTGCACCATCCCCCTCTCTACTACAATCGTCTGGTGATATCCGAATAAAATATTAATTATAGCTATAATAATGTTATTCTGCGCTTTAACAACTAAGGTATTTAAAGCGAGTAACATGGTTAGTAATACATTAATCCAACAACTTAAAAAAAAAAATGAGAGTAATGTAAAGTGTTTAGCAGTATAATGTGCTTATGTAATAGATATTGTTTTCAGTTGTTGGAATTAACATTTGTAATTTGGCATTCTTTCAATTTTACGAAATTGAATTTATCTGCTCCGGCATACCTTGACATCATCACGACAATACAACTTTCCGAAAAGAAAAAAAAATGAAATTACAGGATGTTAGTCATGTCACAGTGATAAACCGATAGATGGCGAAGAGGATAAATTAAAGTAAAGCAAATACAGGGTCGGTGTCGGTGGTTCAAACGGCATCGTCTGACAGTTCAAATGTTAATGTCTCTGCTGTTCTACTACTGATGATTTACGTTTTCTGTAATTAGTGTTGTAGTGAGGCCATTTTCTTTGAGTATACCATATGCAAGACGCCGGGATTTGATGGGTTACGGAATAGCGGGCATCCACTGCTTAAAGACTGCCATTTTCTCCAGTCGGTGTTTCCAAAAAAAAAAAGCACGTAAATTCCTGTGCCAGGGTCTGTATGTTGTAATTAGCCCAGTCTTCTGATTCTTCTACCCACTTTCATAGATATGTGTGTTCTCCAGCCTCAGCATAACCCACCGCCATAATTGTGTGTTTGCAATTTCCTCTCAGTTCTGGCAAGAACATTCTTTACTTGTTCTAATTTTAATATAACCCAACAACCAACTCTTCCTGCTTCAGAAAATATAATTATTTGTAGCTCTCAATACAATAAATAAAATGGTCACTCAGTCTATAAGCAAAACTTTGTAGATATCGATATCATCATCATGCAGACGGAGCAGATATACTCTTAATTGGCATCCCAGGAAGACAGTAGCTTTAGCTTATCTCATGTGAGTATCTGGGGGTTGAGTTGAATTAAGTTAGGTTTGGTTAAGTTACTAACCTAATCTAACCCAGTTATTTTAGGTTACGTTAGCGTGGTTAACTTAAAGGGAAATAAACTGGGTGCCTAATCATCAAATGATCCACCACAGCAATACCGTACAACACAGGTGAAGACAAGCTGGTGGGTGTGACTGTCAAGTGTATACAGTACACTCAAGATCCTGACAGACGTGAATGAACTTACGATCAGACGGCAATAACAGAAGGACCACTTGACCGGCTGACCACTGGAGAAAAGGAATTGGTGAAGACTCAAGAATTTCCTCGACACTTAGAATCACCTTTTTCTCATGAATCTCCCAATATTGTAATTTGTTAAGGAGTCTTTGATGAGATATCCGTCTTGTACAGTACACAAGTCAATATAGTATCCACTTGCATCGATGAAGTCATAGTTAAATTAATAAATACATTGTTTAATTCCATAATTCGGGTTATTAATTTTTTTTTACATGTCCTTCACTGATATGTCGATGTGAATTCATAAAATACAAATATGTCAAGGGAAACGAGAAAAGATCCAATATGGAAATAATTCATAAATGCAAACCACACAAACCAACCAAACGTGACACTGTAAGGATAGTTTTGGTTAAGTCATCAATATGAAAAAAACCTGTACACTCACCTCTATATCGTATACATACATCCACAGCCTTACTACATACACCCAGCAATACATTCTACTGATACATAAAACTATCCTCCTCCCACATACCACTCCTAATAATGTATGTACCTACTGTATGTTGAAACTATTAAACACCATTTACTCACACACAGGTATACGTGAATATCTCATTAATGCTTTTTAAAGGGACATCAAAGGTTACAAAAAGACCAAGTTGTATAATATAATTTATTAAACGTTGTGACATCATAAGCAACTGAATTGGGATATAACAAATTAAATCTGAGCCGAACGTGTATGAAGATACTGTAAATAAATTAAATGTTTTAAAATACCTTTATAAAACTACCGTAATTTATATTTATATTTTTATTTTTGTTAACTTAATGATTTACATTAGGTAGTTTCCAAGAGGTTGGAAATATAAATCTATTTAATCAGCTTTAATTAAGCTGATATAGATATTTTATAAATTAAACGACGTTTGGATTCCATTTCTGGATTCAAACAAGTTTCAGCGATAATTAGATATGCTTAACTTCGTTATAGTGTCTTTACAAATATAAGATTATGTTTAAATTCTTAGAAAATATACAAGAATTACTGTACTATCCCGTTAGAACAGACCGCTGTGTGTTGCTTGAGAGAAGGGTCACTACTTACAGTAACACTAGTACAAGGAAATAGGATACACCTATTTTATCTCCGGGCTTGGCATTAACAGGTGCCCGTCAGCCTGGAGCTAGTAGAGCCGCGAAGAAACTTATTTTTCGGGATGCAGTCGTACATCCTTAACTTTTCTTCACCCATCTACAGATGGCGGTCTTTATTTTATAGTGTTAACATAGTAAGGCTGATACAGCGGTTAATGCCAACTATGAAAGCTTTAGACAACCTGTTATAAGAGGATAATTTGTTAACTTCAGTAGGCTATCGGGTAAAACTACTAACAATGTACCCCTGATCTACATTCACTTAAAAGTTTTCAACATTCAGTTCGTGATGGTGTATGTAGAATTCTTTGACAGCTGTAACCATCTCATAATACATTAAGTTAAGGCACAAGTAACACACTGCACACAAGTCTCCATGTTGGTTCAACTTACTTTCTAGGCAAAATTCATGGTAGGGAAGAAAAAGCTTACATTAAGATTTGTACATGAAAAATTTGTTTTCTCCTTGAGAGGAAAGATGAGAAAACTTGAGCCCACTTCCCACACAACAACCTAACATTATTATTACACTGTATATTACTACTGTCTAATGCAGACCTGTTACACGAGAAACGTGAGCTAATACAGGCGCTGTAGACAATAATGTAGAGCACAAAACACATGGCATGTCTATCATCACAAAACTAATATGGTACAAATATACAGTATATCTTGGATCGGTCACCTGCACTCAAATACATTCTGTGACCAAACCAATTCTTTACTTATCAGTGGTAATGTCATTTACACACAAATGGTATAATGCAAATAAAAATAATTAACCTCATGTTACTTTATAATCTACAGTACTCACGGTAGGCCACCATCACCCAGGTTTTCTATCAGAACATACTGTACAGTATAGAAACAGTAACTTGAGAAACACTTTGGTAGTACAGTAGCGTGGCGAAGGCTAGGCTTATGGGTTCTATTGTATTCAACGGAACAAATAATTAGGGCGAATAAAAAGTGGATCATTTTCAATTTGGTTTGTGATGTTTAGAACAAAATTTTTAATGCAATACCTGAATATAGTACAATACTGTAAATCTATTTATCAATACCCCCCCCCCCCCGCCGCTACAAATTTAGCATCCAAAATTATAGTCGATTCAGTTAGGTACTCTTACTTTACACCCTTATTCATTTTTGTTTCCGCCTGAAATTTGTTTGAACACTATCATTTTCTCTTCAGCTTCTGAGAAAATATATCCATATTTATCACTGCAAACTCTTCAAAAACAAAGTCCTGAAAATGTGTCTAACAATAATATCTATACAAACACTGTACATGTGATCGTTATGACATTGGATCGACTTTTTAAACGAAGGAATTTTATACTGTACTGTACACATGTTCGTGGGATGAAACTACTGTACCTTGTGCCAGATGATGTAATGGGGCACGTAGCTGTTCTAATATAGTTGTACATAAAAATATAATAGAAGCTAAAGGACATCAAAACTACACTGTGAATTCTATCTTAACTAGATTCGTTCACTTAACAATTGTTGGAGGTAAAACTAGGGTTGTGAATATTTTCTACAATATTTATGCTTAATGAACTTGTGTGGTTAAGGGAGTCTCAAATCACTATTTATGTTACAAGAGTTCCAGTACAGTACTGTTTTTTCTACAAGAATTTATATTATTAATTCGCTTTCTTATAACACAATAAAACCATTAAAAACCCCACTTATACAGAAAACCTAACAAGTTACTGTCCAGATATTATTAGTTTGAGATATGAAGTTGTATAGTACTCTATTTTTTCACATGCATGTAGAAATTACCGTTTTCTTTACGGGGAAGTGTAGTCTATAAAAACAATTTTTGTTTACTGAAGCTTTCACTTTAAATAATATTATGGTGACACATTCCCTGGTAACTTTCTCCAGTCAGCGTTAACAGCACAGTAGGGTAGATAGGCTAAGTGTTAATGTACCGTCTACTTCCTGGCAATGGTGTAGCTTTCCCTTTCCCGCCGTTTGGTACAACGTTTCAACTTCAGCAGGAAGGGGCCGAATTCACAGGTGGGCGTAGAACACTCCCCACGTGACACACAGCTGAAGGTAACAACATGATTACATTATAACGTCACGAATTTACCATCGAATCGCCGCCTTTCAAAATCTCTGGGTGAAAATTAATATTGCATTTCAACATTATTTTTTATATATTTATCATTTAACACACACGTACACACACATTATGAATTGTGAATCCTTTTATTTTGTAGGAAGTAAAGACAGTCTCACCTGATGTCGCTGGAGGAGAAGTAGCGGCGTCCTTTATAGAGCCGTCGACACTTGGACTTGCCCTTCCCACACTCACACATACACTGACCATTTCTCAGCTCTGCCGTGTAGTGACGAGGACATTTACACCTGTAGGTCATAACAACACCAATGTGAGCACGACTGAGATATAAAGTAACAGTCAAATTAACATGAGAAATAAGATCACTTGAAGATTAGCCTCCCCAGCTTAACTTACTTCACCTTAGTAAAACCTTCCTTATTGCTAATCTAATTTACCTCAATCTAATCCCCCCGAGTAGCGTTAAGATGTTTTAAGCTTGAGGTGGATAAAGTTAGGTTTAAACACAAGACTGAAAACTCACTCCTGATTGGTCTATTGGGTTGAAAGTTAAAACACAAGAATGAAAACTCTCTCCTGATTGGTCTATTGGGTTGAAAGTAAAAACACAAGAATGAAAACTCTCTCCTGATAGGTCTATTGGGTTGAAAGTAAAAACACAAGAATGAAAACTCTCTCCTGATTAGTCTATTGGGTTGAAAGTATAAACACAAGAATGAAAACTCACTCCTGATTGGTCAATTGGGTTGGAAGTAAAAACACAAGAATGAAAATTCACTCCTGATTGGTCAATTGGGTTGAAAGTAAAAACACAAGAATGAAAACTCACTCCTCATTGGTCAAATGTAGATAAACATAAAAAAGATTGAAAAAAAACTCACCCACTGGCGGGAAGGTTGGTGGTGATTGAACGAGGCTGACAGGAACATCGCGTGTTATTGGCGAAGGTCATCATCTGCACCCCAGCTCGACCTGCGTGCTGGAGAGGTCAGAGGTCAAAGGTTAGATGAGTTTGTCTGTTGAGTCCCGACTGATGAATGTTTTTATACGTGAGGGATATTTATTCATGAGAGCTTTTGACACAACCAATGGTGAACTATTAGTATTTTAGCAGAATCACATGAAGATTAGCCCTCCTAGTTTATTTTACCTTTAAATTAACCTGACCTAACTTAACCGAATTTAATCTAACCTAACCTTATTCATGAACACTCAAAGAGACAATGAACACTACTCAAACTAATACTACCAGGCATACAAACACACAACACCTCTCACAAACACACAACACCTCTCACAAACACACAACACCTCTCACAAACACACAACACCTCTCACAAACACACGACACCTCTCTCAAACACACAGCACCCCTCACAAACACACGACACCTCTCACAAACACACAACAAAAACTAAACATTACTCACAAACACATAGAAATAAAGCTGTACGTTCTCTGACTCGGCAGCAGCACAAGTCATTTCGGGAGAGTTGCAACAGCCGGTCACGTCAGAACAACGGTGGAGGAGAGCACAGCGAGGCCAGTACTTTGCGCTGGGTCCCAAGTCTTCTGAGTTGACAGTCACACACAAGCGAAGCGGCACCTCACACTTCCCACTCGATTTAACCCATCGAGCGTTCTCTGAGGCAAGCTTTATCATCTGAACTGTGGAAGAATTTAAAAATGTTAGAAAATAATATGATCATTTTATATATTAAATAGAATATAAGATTATTTATTTATTTATTCCTTAACCACTTGGTCTGTTTTTTGCGATTTTGTTATGAATGTTTTTGTGGGGTTTTAAAAAAAATATTTGTAAATCAATTCCTATTTGGATTACTTGTAGATTAGATACCCTAATTTATTTCACCTCAAGATTAACCTTCCTAATGTTAGCAATGCGGGTTAGGTTAATCATCAGGTAAAATAAGCTGGGGGAGGGGCGAATCATCAGGTAATCCTCAGTTCTTTAGTCTGATTCGTAACTACGGTGTGACGTCATGCTGTGAGAGCCACTGATTCGTAACTACGGTGTGACGTCATGCTGTGAGAGCCAATAAGGGACATTAAAAAAAAGGCAAGGCTGTGTTGTAAGTTATAACAGGGTACAGCTGGTAGAGACTTACAGTAACAATGAAAAAAAAGAGAGTCAATATTTTGGGTGACCCGAGTCTCACTCCGGCACCACCAGAGAGAGAGAGAGAGAAAGAGAGAGAGAGAGAGAGAGAGAGAGAGGTGTTTAAGATAATTTTACAATGAAAATTTCTTGAGGTAGATAGATAAGTAGAAAGAAAATGAACGCCACTACACCACTATGAACGCTCCCACGCTACTATAAACGCTTCCATGCCACCCTGGATGCCTCTACGCCATAATGAACGCCTTCACGCCCCATCTCAACGCCCCCACACGGCTCGCCAAGGAACAAAAAAAAAATAAGTGTCGTAAATCAAATGTGCGTAAGTTAAGGAGAAGTCACTTCCCCTCGTTGGCGCCAGCACTGGGGGTGAGGGGTGAGGGGGTGAGGAGGTGAGGGTTGGGGGGAGAATTAAGAAAGGCAAAGAGGAGGTGGAGGAAGATGATGGAAGGAAGTTGGGGAGAAGAGAAGAGGGGTGGGGGGAGGAGGGAGGGAGGGAGAGGGAGGGAGTAATGACAAACGAGGGGAGGGGAGAGAAGCTGCTATTAGTGAGATGGAAGGATTAAAATGTAGATTCGACCCCAAGCCGGAGGGAGAGGGAGGAAGGGCGGGAGGGAGGGAGGAAGGGAGAGAGGGATGGAGGGAGGGAATAAAGGAATTGAATTGAATTGAAACAGTTTATTTATCCAGAAAAACACAATATTAACATGGCTGAACCAGTTGAGAACCTGAGCTCTCTTTTAGACAGGAGGGAAGTAAGAGGAGGAACCGCTAAGGATTCTAAACATGGTAATACGCAGATAGTGAGGGAAGAAGGTCAACAAGGGAGGGGTGAGAGGTCAAAGAGGGTCAAGTGTGAAGGACAGAGACTGACACGTATCTCTGTGCCCCGCGTGGTATAGATAGTTCAAGTGTTAGGCTGTCTGGAGGAGAGAGAGAGAGAGAGAGGAAATTGAAAAAAACATTACAGGAGGAAAAAAATATGAGAAACTAAAAAAAAAAAAAAAAAATATGCTTCTAGCGTGTAGGTCCCCATTGGTGTCACACTTATACAGTATTAACACCAGCTAATTGGCACTCTGGCACGGACCTCGAAGTAAACAGTCTTGGTGCCACAGTGTTAAGGTTGTTCAGACAATAGGCGACGGGTCTCTTGTTATGTGAGGCGACGTAAAGAGGCAAACACCGGAGAGAGAGAGAGAGAGAGAGAGAGAGAGAGAGAGAGAGTCTGTAACCTAACCAAACCTACCCTACCCTACCCTACCCTCTACCCTACCCTACCGTGCCCAAACCCAAACAATAAGACTCTAATGGTTTCTTTGGGCTGTGCAGTTTATACTCTACTAACAGCCTGCCATTGTATCTGTCAGCTCCATGTGTACTTACCAACTAAATATCATAATGTGTTCTCTTAAGGTGGCTGTAATAAAGGACTCTCTCTCTCTCTCTCTCTCTCTCTCTCTCTCTCTCTCTCTTTCTATCTATCTCTCTCTCTTCCATTTGCTAATATCTATCTATCTCTGTCTGTCTGTCTTTAATTCTTGATAATAATAATAATAATAAACTCTTTTATTTCCATCTTCAGAAAACATAACAATAGTAGCCAAGAAAAACGAAAGAAAATAACTTAAAAGTGTTCCTTGTTTATATTGGCAGCTCACACTTGCTTCCGGAGAGAGAGAGAGTGTGTGTGTACCGTAACATTAAACTCTTAGGCGTATGGGGGCAGCACTCTGATTATCGCCAGTGACAAGCTGAGTAGAATTTGGTGTTATTTGGTATTTAGTAATGTCTGACTGTCTTTATCTTCCGCTTTTCTTTCCTAACTCTCTGTCTCTCTCTCTCTCTTCTTTCTCTCTCTCTAATCTCCTCTCTCTCTCTCTCTCTCTCTTCTAACTCTCTCTCTCTGACCACCACACACAGATCCTCCCCAGCAAAAAAAAAACCCACTACACGTTGATCTAGAGTCAATATGAGACCTTCTCGACCACACCGCCGTCAGGAGAAGTTGTAATGGGAATTGAAAAAGCTAACTAACCTAACCTAATCTAACCTAAACTAACCTAACCTAATCTAATCTAACCTAATCTAACCTAACCTAAGCATACTTAACCTAACCTAACCATACCAATCAACTGTGAGAGACTGGTGAGGAGGAGGTGATGGTGGTGGTGTGGAAATACATTCATATCTTTCCATAAACAAACATACACACACACACACACACACACACACACACACACACACACACACCTGCATAAACACTTTGACATGTGTACACGAAACCACAACTTCATCAGTACACACAAACAAATATAACTTTGCACTTAAAGATAGTCAAAACAGACACACACACACACACACACACACACACACACACACACACACACAGGTTACGTTATGTTAGATTAAATTAGGTTAGTGTAGGTTAGGTTAGGTTAGGGCCCATTTGAAAAGCTCCCCAACTCACGATCATGCTGAGCCAAGGTGAGACCTGATGAGGGTCTCTGACGTGTCCAAGGGGCGGCGTTGACATAGTCCTTCGTATCTTCCGCCATCGTCATCTCCTCCTCCTCCCACGACCCATCCTGGACGATGGTCGGGCCCTCCACCTCCACGCCTGAAGCCTCCACATCCGTCTGTAAGTAAAGAAACCATCAGTATTTAGCGCACCAACCTCACTGCTGCGACATAATTCACTTTGTTTACAAGACTCATAACTGTGTGTGTATTATGTTATTAATTCAGTTGCTTAGCCTCTGGTCCCTCACCCTGGAGACTCGTAAGTGCACGCGATGTTGTTTGTTATTTTATATTGTTGGGGACTAGTTTGTTTATCTATGTTGTTTGTTACTATATGTTCACTGTTTGTTGATGTCTGACGCCTTATCTGTTGTTCCTACTATCACCACTACATTTTTTTTTTTACAATTACGCTAAACGTGGCCTCCAGACTCCCCCAATAGCCACACCTTCGCCACCATTTTATTATCTTAATATTAAATATCCTAATACATAAGTAACTACCCAAGCTGTGTTGAGTTAGTTGAGCCGCAGATCTATGCGGTGTTCAGTGACTGGTGCCTCATAGTCGATATCTGCGACCGTTGTCGGCTTTGGGGCATGTGATCTGTTCCCTGAGGCAGAGCAATCCAGACCTAAGGAGAGAGAAGGACAGTCGACATCTCAATCCGGCTGTAGCATAACTTCTGGGCTGCTGCTTCTGTTCATATACACCTCGGCCAACCTTGCGTAGGAACATCTTGCACTTGGTCCCATCCCACCAGAGGTTGTGAACACCAGAGAGGTAAAGCTGTGCCCTGTTCTTGTCATTCTCGTTCCTCTTGTGTGCAGCCTCAAGAGCTAAGTTACGGTGACATGCGGCCATGGGGTCGAATATCCTGATCTCAAAGGCTCGCTGTTCCCGCGTCCAGAATCCTCGAGCACTGACGTCCACACGGGCATAGTTGGATGTGTTTGAAGTCCTGTGACGGAGGTTCTCACCGTCCAATGGAAGGAGGGGCGGTTCCACCATGACGTCGTGGCAGATTTCCTTCAGTATATTTGCTGTTAGATCCCTTACTTCGTCAGCCTCCTGCAGACTCACTACTGCTGTACTAATAGCACTGCCACTAACAATAGGCAACATTACGACTAATTCCATTACTATTACTACAGACACTAAAGCTACCGCGGGTACTATTGCAACTACTATTACTACTGCGACCACTGTACTATATTATGGAATTGTGTCATAAGAGAAATGTATCTTAAACGACTTTGTTAGGTTACCCTGGGTGGAGTACTGGAGTCTTATTGCTTTACCATTGTTTGTACACCTGACTTGTTTAAATACATGCTGAATCAACGTAAATTTGGAGAGCGACTTTGCATATCTATCTATCCAACACTTTCATATATAATACCTGGAAGTCTTACGAGTTATAAGGCTCCATTGATGGCAGGTCATTAAATTGGAGAGAGAGAGAGAGAGAGAGAGATTCCATTTTTAACTTTGCAAACAACTACACTATAGGGTATTAGTTCCTGTATGTATGTATGTGTGTGTGTGTATGTGTGTGTGTGTGTGTGTGTGTGTGTGTGTGTGTGTGTGTGTGTGTGTGTGTGTGTGTGTGTGTGTGTGTGTGTGTGTGTGTATGTGTGTGTGTGTGTCCATAAAGTAACACCAGAACAGGTTTGAGGATATGAAGTCAACTCTGAGGGTGTGATTAGCGTGTGATAAGCTCCTAACTGTTACCATGGCAATGAAAACACACAAAGTTTTTCTCGAGTGTTGAAGAAAACGACGACATGAGGCAGACTTTAGCGGTAACTACATTATTTTTCACTAACAAGAGTCATTAGTTTGTGGTTGACCCAGACATAGTTAACGATGGGGCGAAGGTCGGGTTAATATTTTTACTTGGATGACTCATAATTATCCCTGGAGAGAGAGAGAGAGAGAGAGAGAGAGAGAGAGAGAGGAGAGAGAGAGGGGAGAGAGAGAGAGAGAGTAGTAGTAGTATAAAAAACCAGGAAATAGTACAACCCTTCTTTCATTATTTACAGCTTGTATTATCGTGAGGAAATAAGATGAAAGACCAACGTTAAATGTTTGTTTATGGTCTTTAGTGCACCTTTGATGTTGCCGATGTACGATGTTTAAGGGTTTTATTTGTGTGTGTTTAGGTTAGGGTTTGGTTTGGTTAGGTTTGGTAGGTTTGGTAGGTAGGGTTAGGTTAGGTTAGGTTAGGTTTGGTTTGGTTAGGTTTGGTTAGGTTAGGTTAGGTTAGGTTTGGTTTGGTTAGGTTTGGTTTGGTTAGGTTTGGTTAGTTTGGTTTGGTTAGGTTTGCTAGGTTTGGTTAGGTTTGGCTTGTTAGTTTGGTAGGGTTTGCTAGGTTAGGTTTGGTTAGGTTTGGTTGGGTTAGGTTTGGTTAGGTTTGGTTTGGTTAGGTTTGGTTGGTTTGGTTTGGTTAGGTTTGGTTTGGCTTGGTTTGGTTTGGTTGGTTTGGTTAGGGTTAGGTTTGCTAGGTTTGGTTAGGGTTTGGGTTTGGTTAGGTTTGGTTAGGTTTGGTTAGGTTTGGTTAGGTTTGCTAGGGTTTGGTTTGGTTGGTTTGGTTAGGTTAGGTTAGGTTAGGTTTGGTTTGGTTAGGTTAGGTTTGGCTTGGTTAGGTTTGGTTTGGTAGTTAGGTTTGGTTTGGTTAGGTTAGTTCGTGAGTGCAGGAGACGATTCTTTTTTTTTTGAATTTTTTGGAGTAATTACTTTTAATGGAAGGTCGAGGCAAGGACTCAGGGGTGGTAACACGGTGTTATACAACTATTACTGTACACACACACACACACGCACACACACACACACACACACACACACACACACACACAGAGACACATGAAGATACATCCTCAAACGCAAATTTTCACTTAGAAACACACATTAACACAATCCTCCTCCCTCTCTCTTTCTCTCTCCCCCTCTTTCTCCCCTTCCTCCCCCTCTTCTTCACTTCTCTCACAGTCGTCCTTGTCCACGTGGGGAGGTGAGGGAGACGATTAAGTTTACCCAAGGGGAGTCTTTCCATGAAGTGTGTGTGTGTGTGTGTGTGTGTGTGTGTGTGTGTGTATTTGTGTGTGTTTGTGTACTAAAGCAGGGCCTTAGTAACCTACTTTACATGTACATTGCTGTACTCCTCGACAGTACACACACACACACACACACACACACACACACACACACACGGTACGACATGACTTACGATACAGGATGGACCGGAGGATTGAAGCCAGGCCATAGTGCATCACCTGACACACGATTGAGTCTACAGGTAAAGGTGAAACTAATTATTCTTATACTCAGATATAAGACTCGAAAAGGGACTTCTTGCTCAGTGTTAACCTAACCTAACCTAACCTAACCTAACCAAACGCAACCTAACCTAACTTAACCACATTCCCAATTCAAATTTATCCAAAACGAGGGTGGAAGAGGGGAAGGGGGGAGGGGGTTGAGGAAAGAGGGGAGGGTGAGGCTAGTTTATTGTGCACCCCTTTATACAAGACTAAGCGGCAAACTTAACCCGTTTTACTATACAAGTTGTGTATGAGTCGTGTATAATTTTCTGATCCTCCAAGTGGCAAGAGGAGACGAAGAGAGAGAGAGAGAGAGAGAAAAAGTATTTGTAATAGATAAGGGGGCGGTGGGTGCAGGGGGAGATAAGGGGAAGCTAAGTGGGTGCTAAGGGTCACAGCATTAGTGGGCCACCCTAGTCTTGTCTACTGAAATTGTTTTGACACGGTATCTGGGGGTGGGGGGATGTGGTGTTGGGTGGTCGAGAGACAAAAAAACAAAACATGGTCTGGTTGAGGGTGTGGTTTAGTCTGGGTGATGGTGGTCTGGTCGAGGGTGTGGTCTAGGTGATGGTGGTCTGGTCGAGGGTGTGGTCTAGGTGGTGGTGGTGTGGTTGAGGAATTAGTTTGGTTGGCGTTTCCTTGTAAAGAACTTTCGTCAATAGATTGGCTGGGAGCTTATGATCGAGGGTGAGAGAGAGAGAGAGAGAGAGAGAGAGAGAGAGAGAGAGAGAGAGAGAGAGAGAGAGAGAGAGAGAGAGAGAGTCACCCTTTGTAACACACGACAACAAAAACACATTAAGAAAAATTATAACACCCATCAACACCCTGTAAACATAAGGGATCCTGAATGTAAAAAAAACCACAACAAAAAACATAAACAAAATAAAGCAAAAAAAAAACATAAACGCTTAACTTATACTTACACATTAAAGTAACCTCTACAGACGTGAAATTATGACATGAATTTCTTACAAGGGAAATATACTCATTAGTTCATTTATACTCCGGGTCCTTTGATGTTTATGTTCATTGTCTGGCGCGCGTCTTCCTCTTAAACGCTTATATATTTATTTTTTAAGATGGGTTTTTTTTTCCTGTTGATTATTATAACTACATATTAAGTAGTTTCCTGTTTACTTAGGATTATAATAAATTAGTTTTGGGTTAGGTTAGGTTGTGTTAGACATGACGGTCTCTTCTGGGTAACATCCTGCTCAAGGGTGACCCGGTGACCTGCCCTGAGGCCACTGTGGCTGGCTGGCGTCAAGGGAGAGGAGGAGGAAAATGCGGGAAGAGGGAGGGACGCCGGAGAAGAGGGTGTCAGGAGGGGGGGGGGAGGGAGTTAAGACGAGGAAGGGATGGAATATGAGGGAGGAGTACAGTAGAAGGATGGATGGAGGGGAAGATGGAAGGAGGGAGGGAGCATCACGTGTCACAACTTCAGTTTCAATAATACTTACATCAAGGTCGACCGACGAACTCAACTGAATAACTGAAATTAGAGTCGGGTACCAGACTGAGAAGCTGTACTAGCGAGAGGCAGGCAGACCCCCCTTCCCTCCCTCTCTCTCCCTTATATGGAAACAACGAGAAGGGAATGAGGAGAGGAGGGGAGGGGGAGAGGGGGAGAGAGAGGAGGGCAGACAGTCATGTTTGCTTGTTAAATTCCCCAGGTACTATTGAGGTGTTGCCTTTCATTGACTCTTACACAAGTTTACTAAAGTTACCAACACACACACACCAACACACACACACACACCCACACACACACCAACACACACACACACACACA